CGGCAGCGGAAGCACCAGCTCGGCGGCAAGCCAGCGTGCCAGCGCCACTCCGGCGGCAACGGGCAGGACCATCCCGGCAATGGTACCACTCTGGTGGCAGCGCCCTCTGTTCCCACGACCGGTTCCCGCCGCGGTAACAGAGGGACGCGTTCCCGCACTGACGCCGACAGTGGGTTTTGCTGGGAGAATTGTGCCTATTAGATACATATTTGAGATGGACATCGTCCCCAAGAACGAGAGGCGGTATGACACACCAATAGACCGATGATTCGCAAAAATTGCATTTAGGGTCAGTTAGTGTTCCAAAATTCTTTTCAAGGAGTTTCGATATTGTCCCGATTACAGCGATACTACATAAACATGCAAACTACCCAATGACATTATGTTCCTCGAACCCTTCCCCCTTCCTGATCCCCGGTCAGTAGCACTCACCTCCTCTGTCCTGCGGACGCTGCCATTGGGCCGGTTCACGAACACGAGCAGGTAGACCAGCGACCAGAGCAGCGTGCCGGCCACCACGTACACCAGCAGCTTCTGACGCATGGCTCACAGCTCACGGTCCTGGCGAAATGTGGCAGTATGCAGTCTGATGCCATAGAAAATGGGTGAAGACTGGAGACAAGCATATCAAAGAGTCCATTACCTAGCTCTGTGACAGAGTATTGGACTAACTGGTGCCTGGTGGTAACAACACAGTTCTAGTCACTGTGGTGCTTGACACATGAGACCCTTGCCACTTGACAGGGATGGTCTGCACTTGGTGGGAGCAGCCACAACCAGTTGAAGTCTGTTAAGTGGGGCAGACTGGACCCAATTTTGATAGATGTGACTTTGCTCACTACAGATAAAGCCTGCCCACTCATAATGTTTTAACTAAATTCCAAGAATTTCACTGGATGGTAGGCGTAAAACATGGGAATATTGAAAATATTTTGATCTAGTGTGACAATCAAAATGCTCAATGGTGGAGGGCAGGTAATCACCTGTTCATTATCTACATTTCATTAAAACATCACAGAAAAGGTAATCAGAAGCCTAACTTCTGAGTGAAAATATTCCCTGGAAGAGCCCTGTGTTCAAGTTTGTCATAGTAGGCACTAACCATGTCAGGATCTGCACAGTGTTAGCATGGATGAAGGAGAACCTGTTCTTTCACCCATGGTGTTAAGGTTATGAGGATGGATGATAAAAGCAGGTGCCTGCGGCCTGCGGGCCATTTAAGACACCACTTGCCATTCAGACAGGTGCCATCTTAAACCTGGCTTGGTTAACTTAATGAAGACAGATTTCATGATGAAATCTGAAACCACCCACCATTATGTTTTGCAGTCAAAACTATATCCAGAACAACTTGATCTGTAGGTACTTACTTAACCCTCGCCGGACCTATTGGTTTTCTACATACGCGCCGGCCGAGGGGGGGGGGGGGGGGCGGGTACGACCCCCCCCTCGCCGTTTCGCCCCTGGTGGAGCTAGCGCGTCGCGGAAAAAACGAGCGTGTGCGCCGTTACGAGACGCAGAGATTGGTACCCGATTTTAAGGTCCTAGGTCAACCGGTGACCTCTGAGGTCAGGTCAAGTGCCCCAGGGTACGGTTCAGTTTTTGGTGAATAACTTCGCAAAAAACGGCCGCAGAGCGCCGATTTTGGCAGCATCGTGTTCGCTTCGCTCAGGCGCGTCGAATGATATACTTTTTGTCCGGGTCAGGTCAACTTGGGGTGTTGACCTCAGGTCAAGGTCAGGTCAGCACCCCCAGGTCACGAAGTTGGTCGAAAGAGGTCATGTCGCATATCATTCGATTCGGCAGGCCTTCCTGAGTCCATTGGTGCCTTTCCCGACTCGCTAGCTCAATTTGATCAAGAGTTATTGACGAAAAACTAATTTGACCTTGATGACGTCATAAATGACGTCACGCAAGGTCAACATTGCAAAAGTGACGCATCTAACCTTGCAAGGAGTGCATCAAATCACGATTCCGTGTGCTTGAGATAGTTGGAGATCGTTCCCGGCGCCAGAATAGCAGTTTGAATTTTTCCCCATTGACTTATAATGGTGAGGTCACGAAAATGACCTGACCTCATATGACCTTTAGGAAAAATCCGAGATATACAAGTTGTGGGACTCATAATGGATACTAGATCCTGCAAGTTTCATTTCCCTGTGACATCTCCTCTGGCAGTGAGGGCGTTGCGAAGTTGCGACATCTGAAGACCGTGCAGAGGTTCACTTATGACGTCATAGGTCAGTGACCTGACCTGACCCAAAAATGCGGTTGGTGTCAAAAGATCCGGCTTGGATCAAAGGTCAGGTATGCCAAGTTTCAGCTCTCTATCGCCAGCGTGTTCGGAGCTATCGCGAAAAAACCCTATGGGGGGGGGGCGGCACCCGCCCCCCCCCCCTCGGCCGGCGAGGGTTAACTTAGCATTTCAATTTGAGAAATTATCATGTTGAATTTTGTAATAACAACAGCTTACTTATTAGACTCAAAGGCTCACTATAGTCTCAAAGTAGCAAAATGGGTAGAGGAATAGAGAGAAGGGAAGGAAAACAAATAAAAAAAGTTTGCCTGGCAGATGAGAACACATCCATTCCAAATGGAAAGTGCCTATCACACAAGTCCAAAAATTGTGGTACCAGTAAGGCAGACACATCACGAGCTGTCATATGCGCGGCCAGTCTGCAAAGTATGGCTCGCAGGTCGACGGGGCGCACCGGCCCAAGTTCAAAATCTGGACCAATCCTTTAAACAGAGCCGGAAAATCCGCACCAAAACCGGCTGAGTGTACAAAAAAAAAAAAAAAAATCCGCACCGAACCCGCACAAGTGACCAGTCAAAAGCTGCATTGACCTCAATTGAGTCAATTCAAATTGTTACTATGAGCCACAAGAATGCCACCTCAGCACTTAGGATGGAAACGAAAGTTCGAAACTAGAAATACGCACTGCAAGACTAGAACAAAAAGCATGTCACGCAGATACAGAACCCTATCCGGGCTATCCGGTACCTGCCCCTGGCGATTCATCCATGTGGGTGATTATTGTGCGATGTACCAAGGTTACCCTAATGGTGTCGACACTGCCATTTAGCTAAACGGCTTGACAACTTGTAGGGCTCCAGTTACAAAAATTGAAATATAAATGGCAAAAAGTGGGCCCATCGCATGCATGCATTTTCGGCATTTCTCGTTAGGTCATTAGCTGTATCAAACAACTAATTTGATAGGCAAGTCAATTTGACTACTTAGCCGCGGCAAAGTGGTGGTCCTCAAGGCCCGCCATCAGCCATGCGCATTTCGCCCTACCTACCACCAAGCGACAACGCCAAACTCTCATATGAACTGAGAGCATCTCGTTCACGAATGCTGCAGAGTGCAGAATGCAACAAACTCAGCTTCTTTCAACGCAGCCTAGGCATTAGCTGCGTCGAACGTACCCGATAAATTGATCGCACTTGACTGCTTGAAGCGGCGGAGCGGTGATATTCTGGCCCTCCCATTGGCGGTACAAATCTTGAATCCCTCTCATCGGCCGTGCTCATCTCTCTCACTCTCTCTCACGCCTTGCAGAGCCAGGGGGTGAGTTTCGTGTTGTAACAGTGCAAAGAGTGCGAAGTTGTGGGCGACCCACGTGATTAGTGGGCCCACCAGCAGTGGCCAGTGGGCAGCAGTCCGTTCTGACCACCGCACACTCATTTTGACCCAAGCACACTGGATTACGTTATGTCGAAGCTCCATCCATGTTTTTTTCGATTTTCTTCATCTATCTCGTCTGGTCTGTCATCGTCATGTCTGTCACTAAGCCAATTTCTCACCACATTTTACTAAATCCGCACCACTGACCTCACCACACCAAATCTGCACCAGCCGAACAAGCCTGCACCAACAAGATCTCGTCGAAATTGCCATACTTTGCAGACTGGATGCGCGGGAATACATCTTTGTAGCTAAACCAATCCAAACCAAAACCTAACCAAACCTTAACTAACCTGACCTACAACCTACGGCCTACTTTCTACAACCTACAAACTATCCTATCCCATATGGCAGCTCGTGCTACGTCTGCCTTACCGATACAATACAACCATGACATTATCATAATGCAACACCGTTATGGAATTCTAATGCCTCATCTACCTAACATGGATTCGTTTGACAAAATATTGAGATATTCTTACCTTTTTTATTATTTCAAGATGAGCATCCACGCCAACATTATCCTGAAATGTTGATCTCAATCTCAATCTGGATTCTGTGGGACGTGTTTTGACATCGGTTTAATGCACGCCCATTCTGATTCATCAACTACTTAGCACAAGAGAAACGATAGTTTCAGTACGGTGGTATCATTAAAGGCTCTTTTTTGGTATTATTGGTGAAGCTCAATCTTTATTACTAAAATAAATGGACTGCAACAATGGAAAATCGTAATGGGAATATAATTCAATGACAAATAGAAGATATGCGCCAGAAATGAAGAACGAATCTCTGTTCATCAACCGGGTCCGCAGAATCATCGCAGATTCAAGGAGAATTACTACGTAGAGTAAAACTTTCATTGATTCGCCTTTGGCAAGAAATTTATTACATAATAGACCTTGTAACTAAAAAGTGAAACTTGTTTTGATTTGCTCTCAAAAATCTCCGTTTCAACTTTCAAGAGTCAAGCGGAATGTTTGTTTTTTTTACTTTTCGCACTATCATCAATAGAATTGAACATAAAAGTTTGCTGATTGAAACCTCATCAGTAAAAGTTCACCGTAGCTAAATTGTTTTAATTATTGGATCAGAGAGGTTGCAGTGGTTTTTGACGCATTTAGATAAATAATAGTCGACTATATTTCTTATCTGTACTAACGGCAACGCTTGCAACTCAATATTGTTGAATTTATAGCAAAATAATAACAACTTATTTACAGTTTTGCTACCGCTGGTTTTGAACTTTTATCAGCGGCAAAACTGGCGCACAGCTCAAATTTGGAATCGAATCAAAACAAAAGCGGCCATGAGGTAGGTGATGTTGGACTGGTTTGCGTGGTGTCTGTCATTTGTACGATTTATGCATGGTGGACTAGAAGAAAGTTTATAAAACGTTTCTGAAATATTTGGCTGTCAATGAAAAGAATCCGGTGCCAGTGTGCAAATAAGAATGTTGAAGAATGAGCGCGCTCGAACAGCGAGATTGAAGTTGAAGTGCAAGCTGAAGCGAAGTGCAGTGAAGTGCAAGTCAGCCCTGTGGATTCTGGATTTGTGACCTGAGACTTATTTTCCTTTGTTGTTAGTAATTTTATTTTAAAAGACTGAAGGCTGAAAGGAAATCACCCCTGCAAGCAACATCAACATAGAATTGGCACGACAGTGGTAAGTAGCCAATCCAAATCTACCGCACGATAATGTCAACTGCTTAAGGCAATTGGAAATATTTCAGTCATTCAACGCACTTTTGAATAATTCTTAATGATATTCTTTCAACTGAAGGCTGTAGAACCTGAAACATCCCTCTCATTTCACGCATTGAAATGCGTAGCGTAGGGTGACTGAAAGTGGTGTCTCATTAGTTTGTTCTGCGTTTAGAACTCCTCTAGTCAGTATTAGAGGTATGTTGTATTTTGCAATCGACTGTCGCCATTTCCAGCGAGTCACAGCCGCTTGATGCTTCAGCGGGGAGGCGAGAGGTCGGTCGCGGACTCGCGGGTCGGGTCGGTCGCCGATTCCGGCCGATTCCGCCGTCCTTCGAGCCGTTTGAGCCGGGCTTCCGTGCGGTGCTGCCATCTAGGATCGGATCGGCCGGTTGAACCCCGGCTGCATCACAACATTGCAAGTCGGAGCGCTACCCTAGGGCATAGCGAGAGATGTGCCGGCTGCTAACTACCCGGACTAGGACCAAAGCGGAAACTGGGTCCTGCGTCATAATGTCAGCAATCTTCCCGAGCCCCCAGGACGACCGCGCGCGTCTCCGCCGAGTCCCCTGAATCGCCCGCCGGCGCGACGCCCGCCCCTTCTCAAGGTCGAAGGGGTGTGCTCAGCTCGCCGCCTGGCCGGTCCCCGGCGGCCGGCCGGCCGCCGGCCGCGGCCCGCAGCGGCGGGAGAAGACCCCAACGACGCGGAGCGCGGGGGAGAAGGGGGAGGGGCACGCGTCGTACTGAGGCGGCGACTCTACAATCTGACCGACTGTCCAATACCGGTCTGCTCATCGGCGCGCTCAACATCCAAAGCATTAAGCCGAAGCTGCTCGAACTGACCGACGTGGTCAGCAGTCAAGACTTCGACGTTCTCCTACTCTCCGAGACCTGGCTGCGACCCAGCACGCCCAGTCGGCTAGTTGTGCTACCCGGGTACTCACTTAGCCGTGAGGATCGTCCCGACGGCAGTGGCTACGGTGGAGTCGCCATTGCCACCAAAAACTCCATCACCTCTGTAGCGCTAAAACTCACAGTTCCGCCGTGCCGTGAGAGTCAGCTTGAATCCCAGTGGATCCTCCTAAAACTGGAGAAAGATCGTCAGCTAATTGTCTGCTCGCTCTACCGACCGCCCCGCTACTCGGACACTGCCCTACGCGCTGATTTCAACGATCTCGAGTCTCAGTTGCAACGGATCCTGATCGACCACCCCAAGGTTCCGTTTGTCATCTGCGGCGACCTAAACTGCGATTTGCTGAAACACCGGAGTTTCCGCGCGCGTATTCACCTAAGCGACTTTTTATCGGACTACTCTCTCGATCAACTGGTAACTGCACCCACGTACAGCTCCGGCTCGCTCCTAGACGTATGTATTGTCAAAACCCGTGAACTCGTGCTCGACTGTCATGTAAAACACTGTCACTTCAGCCCACACAAGTTGGTAAACGTGCTAGTTAACGTACCTAAACAGCGTAAAACTGCAACTGTCATCACTACCCGCTCAATCAACCGTGTCGATGTCGCGTCCCTAAATCATGACTTGATGTCCATCGAGTGGGACGAAGTGTTCACTGCAATGACCGTGCATGACAAATGGCAAGCTTTTCTGACTAATTTCTTACCCGTCCTAGATGACCATGCCCCTTTAAAGAACCTGACCATTAGAAACCCCACCGCTCCCCCCGTCTCAGCCTCCACCCGTGATATCATGGCCCAACGGCGCGCCGCACTACGTCTGCATGGTCGGGCATCTACAGTTTACAAAGACCTGAATCGTTCAGTCCGTTCTGCCGTTCGCCGTGACCGGCGCAACGTGATTCAGCGGGAAATTAGTGAACGCGGCCCCAGCAAGGTGTGGCAGGGAATCAAATCAGTCATAGCTGGTAAAAAAGGAAACAAAACAGTTCAACCCGTTGTAACCGCTGACGAACTAAACTCATTTTTCGTGTCCGTAGGCCCCCGTATTGCTACCGAGATCCGAAACCAAAACACAGGTACCTACACAAACGCACGGCTGCCACGCGTCGGCGCATGCGGTTTTCAGCCGAGGCCTATCTCTCTCGGTGAGCTCGAATGCACGGTTTTCAGAATGCGGAACTCAGCCGCCTGCGGAGCGGACGGTGTGTGCATCCGCATGCTAAAAACCAGTTTCTTGGCTATTGGCAGCGTCATACAGCACATCGTAAACACCTGCATCTCGAAATCTGACATCCCCGACCAATGGAAGCATTCCATAGTCCATCCCATTTTCAAATCCGGAAACCCATCTGACCCCAGCAACTTTCGACCCATTTCTCTAGTACCAGTTATCATGAAAGTTGTTGAACGAGTCATCCAGCAGCAGCTACAACACTATCTCTCTCAAAATTACCTTTTGGCATCTAGTCAGCATGGCTTCCGACCCCAGCATTCAACTGAAACAGCACTTTTGTCCGTCACCGACCGCATCCTAGCGGCCACGGACAGGGGAGAAATATCTTTCCTATGCCTTATCGATCTCAGCAAATGTTTCGATGTCATAGATCACAAACTCCTTCTCGACAAACTCGCACTGTACGGCATCGAAACTCCTTGGTTTAAATCATATCTAAAAGGTCACACACAAAGCGTTTCAATGACCGATGGATTCCAGCGCAGGGTACTGTCACGACCACTCCCTAACACTATGGGCGTGTTTCAAGGCTCGGCCCTGGGTCCTCTTTTATTCACGATTTTCTCAAACGATTTGGCGCTTCACGCCGATGATGCATGCGTTTTCCAATATGCAGATGATACCCAGCTTCTAGTGAGTGGTCCAAAAAACAATGTAAGTGGCCTTATTTTGCGCATGGAGGCCTCACTAGAAGCACTGAACAAATGGTTCCACTCAAACGCCCTGAAGGTTAACGCGAGCAAAACGCAACTTATGATATTCGGCAGCCGTCAAAATCTGAAACACTTGCCCCCAGTCGTCGTATCGTTTCGTGACGCGGAGCTGGAACCATGTGCGCAGGCAGGAAACCTCGGCGTGGTCTTTGACAGCTGTCTGACCTGGGAAGCCCATGTATCCGAGCTCAGCCGGAGGTGTATGGGCCTGCTCATCGGCCTCTCCCATGTGCGGCACTGTCTTCCCGATGGGGTCATCAAAACCATTGTTACAGCTTTAGTCATCTCCCGAGTAAATTACTGCCTCTCAGTTTACGGAAATGGAACAAAAAAGAACCTGAATCGACTCCAAAAGATCCTGAACTTCGCTACTCGAGTTATTTTTGGCCGCCGCAAATTCGACCACGTCACTGACCTGCGCGAGAAACTCAACTGGATGCCGCCCGAATATATGTACAAACTTCAAACTATGGCCACTGCACGTAAGGCGATACACTACGGCGAACCGGTAGCACTTGCCTCTATGTTTGCCAGAAACCGGGACTCCTCAACCAGGGATAGAAATACACGTCAGGATAACCTTCTCCAGCTCCAGCGTCCCCGACTAGAAACCGGTAAGCGGCGTTTCAGTTACCGTGCCGCCGCGCTCCTAAACGACCTACCTCCCGAACTTTCACAGCTGCCACCCTCTAAATTCGCACGCGCTGTCAAGTCTCTGTGGAAAAACGATAGACCATCGTGATAACCTGAATTAGGCACTCGTCTTGTATATAAGTACACGGTATGTTAGAAATCGTGCATATAGTCTTCCTGTGTGTGCGTGTGTGTGTGTTGTTGTTGTTTGACTGATCTTTGTTCCTGCATGCATATACCCGACACAGACTCTGGGCAGTAATCGCCACGCCATGTGTGGATCGCCCATGATCGTAAATACAATACAATACAATACAATACATAACTTCATACTGATACTGCGTACTTGATAGCTTGTCCTGGAGAATATCAGCTCTACAATGAAAACCATTCGGCCCCAATCTGAAATCACATCGATGTAACATTGTAGGTATCGTGACTCATTTGTCGCCGGGTACCTTGTACCGTATGGCTGCACGCCGTATGGCTATCTGGAACCTTTGAACGGTTATCTGGGATGACGGTTGGATCCTCCCCCCGCCCCCTCCCCCTTAGCTGCCGTCCCAGGGATCCGTTGGAGGCATGAATGTTACATGCTCTGTACACTATCAAAACAGCAGACACGAGCATGAGCTGTTTGCCACCAAGAGAGCAAGTTCCACACAGCTATTTAGACGGTACTCAGCGCTAGCGTTGTGTGCATTTGCTGTTGCATGAACACGAATAGATGCCTGCGTATTCCAACTGGACACTGGTTTAAACTGAACGGGTCAATATTTTCCGTGCTACGGCTTTTCCCCTTCCATCGCCGACAGACGACTGGAACTGGGAGCGGAACAGGTAGTCGATGGTTCACTGTTCGAACACGGACCGTGACGAGCAGCGCGGTGTAGCGTCTTTTCCCCTTCCATGGCAGACAGACGACTGAAACTGGGAGCGGAACAGGTAGCCTCGCTGTTCGAACACCGACCGTGACGAGCGGCGCGACGTCCCGTGCCCAGCCGCGTGTCTGCCAGGCGCGAATAATTAATGCCAGAACTTGCATAGTGCATTGTCCGACACGGGCCTCGCGTTCGTTATCTGGATGTCGTATTTTCCTCCATGTGCCGGTCGGCCCATTGTAGACGCATTAAAAATATGGTGTTTAGCAGTCAGGAGTAGAACGACAAGGCAAACACCGCCTGACGTTCACATGGATTAGCCTGAATCGGCCTCGGCTCGGCTGAAAGTGTGTAGCCATGCATTGTATAATGCTATGGGTGCCGTAAGTTCATGGTGGTTACCCTTAGGTGTTGTTTTTTACATGGTGGTTACCCCTTGCATGTGGTAGGCTAGGGCGACTTACCACCGCTTCTGGAAAAAAAAAATCACCATTGAACCAATGTGTTTATGAATTATAGCTTTATAAGGTGTCCAGTATTGAGGAAATCTACTACAATGAAGCAAGCCCCTATTCATTTTAGA